TTCTCGGCCGGGCTGCTCTCAATCCCTTCCTCCCCCAGCCTGTAGTGATACTGGGGGTTGCCCTGACCCAGCTGCAGGACCTTGCCCTTGTTAAACCTCATGAGGTTCACATGGGCCCACTTCTCAAGCTTGTCCAGGTCCCTCTGGATGGCATCTTATCTTAAGACCACATCACATGACATACTTCTATTTAAAAAACACATTAATTGACAATTAAAATGGATACTTATTAACTACTACTATGTAGAAAAAAAAGCCCCAGCTTTTATTGGGGAAAACTCAGACTTAAGGCTTGTAAAATCTAGTGTTTCTTAATATCTAGGATTATAGTAGCCATCCTGTTGCCATTGTATTATTTACTTATGAAAAATATTTACCTCCACAGTTCGTTGCTGCAATCTCTGTGCCTCCATCTTGGATAGTGTTTCTTCTAAAGCTTGCATGGCCTTCTGATGTTCTGCTTCTTTATTTCTTGCTTGATTTAACTCATTAGTAAGTCTTTCAGTTTCACCTTTCAACTGTTGGACATCTGCTTGCAGTCTTGCTTTAACAGCTCTCTCTTTCAATATTAATTCCTTTAACCTGAGAATAAATGCAATAAAGTTGTATTACAAACATTTTAGTATTTAGTTTGATGCCAAATACATTGAGAAAAAGATATTAGTAAGTGTTGTAGCATCGTATCTTGTTCTTTGCTGTGTTACTATTTACAGCACTGTCATGTAAAACTGTTTAAAAATATGTAAAATATTACTGAAGTCATGTGTAGCATTACTATATGGAGCTCCATTTTAAAAGAAACTAAGCTGGAGACAACCTCATAGATAGGTCTTTAAGGAAATGACATTCCAGTATCATTTTGCTTTATACAGAAATCGAACATATAGTATGAATTTGTAATTTAATAATTTTCTTCAGAAAACTTCGAAATATCCTTGAATATTCTAATAATTTTTGATATAAGATCTATCTCAAAAGAAAAGGAACACAGTAAGCCTCTTATCCAAGATGGTAACAAATAAAGGTGGGAAATAAACGTAAAACAAAAAGAAAAAAGGGAAATAATCACAGTCAGTCATGGATGTAACTCAGGAAGCACTTGGCTTATTTCTTCCTTACAAGAAAGAAAATGTGTCTTTGATAAATACAATGCAGTTAAGAAAAAGACAAATAGAGCAGACATCTCCAATCATAGCTGACAACAAACACTGCTTTGTTACAAGGGAGAACTTCTGAAAAAAAGGATGCTGCTAAGAACTTACAGGGATGATGATAGCGGTCTACAGGAGGATACGCTAGGCCTGACCTGCACAACATACTGCCTATTGGCCAACTCTGGCCTGCCAGAAACATCTTTGTTCAAGTGCACTGCGCAGGAAAAAAAGAACGCTGTATGTATAGGTGGAAAGGAAGATGAGGAATTGGAAGCTGAAAGTATGATATGAGACAGCTACCAGAGCTTGAGCTGAAAGAGAAAGTACAGTTATGATACAGATTGCTTGGAAAGTAATGGCTAGAAATGGGGGTAAGTGACATACTGACACTGTTCTGAGACAAGAACAGGAAGAAAGCTGCACAGCTGCAGAAAGGAGTTTCATTAGGTAATACCGAAAGAAATTCTAGCACTACTTCTTGATACATTATTTTCCAAGTATATTGTTTAAAGCTGTTCTCACTTCTTAAGCCTATAAATTGAATTGTCTTGAATTAAAAAAAACACAAAATGAACTCTTATACTACAGCACTTTGTTTCCCTACCTGTCTGTAGTGTATACAGCCATACTCTGAATATTCTTTTCTTCTTTTGCATGTTTCTGTAGTTCTCGGACATGCTCTACTAATTTCTTCTCTGCTTGCTCTGCTTTCCACCTCCTTTCTTTCTCTTGATCCAGTTCTTGAATCAGCACCTTAGCAAGAATGTGGTAAGCATCAACTTACTAGGAAACACTCAAATGTAGCCAAAAATGACAAACAATATTCATAACTGTAGAACAAGATTTTTTTGTCTTTCTGGAATTCATAGATGACAGAGGAAAGTGCAAGCAACCAGGCCAAAAACCCCCATAAAAGTGAAATAAAATAAATTCTCTTCCAGCTGATACTACAAGAACTCCACTATTTTTTGATACTATCTACATGCAATTATTTTTGTCACCTCCAATTTTAAAGTTTCACCGGGAGACATATGCTTGTCTTCAGGTGAGGACATACTCATATTCAACTTGAAATGATGCAAAACGTACTCGGTATGTTGATTCCTCTGTGGCATTTGAATTAATGTCTTCTACTTTTTCTACATTGCTCTGTCTTCCAGTTAATATTTCAGCTTTTCTTCCCACTACTTCCAAGTCTCGAGTATGCGATGATGAATTGAGATGAAAGTCTCTCTGACTGGAGCGTGGACACTTTGAGGAACTCTTCTTCTCTTCCCTATAACAGCAGGACATGAAGGTATATTTAAGAATATGCACAGTATAAACAGTAACGGGATTCAGACACTTTCACAGGACAAAATTTTACAGGTCTGTGTAGAAGCTGAATTGTACAGAGTTCAAAACCACATAGAAAATCATTTGCAAGCAGATCATAAAGCAAACAGCTAAATTCAAATCTTCAGCTGTAAAAAAAATAATTAGTACTAGTAGATGTTATCTGAAAAACATCTTGTGATCACATAGATATGAAACAATTTTAGAGCAGAGTAGCTGTAGAGCTGCAGTGGCTGACTAAACTAATATATTCCAATTTATATCACCTTCTATTCATCACTTCTGAAATTTACTATATAAATCAAACACATTACTATGGCATGCTCAGTTTCATCACGAAATCTGGACAGTTATATTCTTGACCATCATTCTGGCACCATGAATCTTTTTATTTTTTAATGACTCAGTTCTTCTGCCTGTGGAGAATTCCTCTGGTACCACAATTTAAAACAAAGGTGAAAATATAGGCTGTTAGAATTCTGAAAGTGTTTGTTTTGGAATCTTCAGTTCAATTTCCTTTTCACCTAAAGACAGAAAACGCTCATATAGTGAAATGACTGAGTGAAGCCTCAGTAGCTAGTAATTTTTAGAGCATTATCAACAGAGCTATTTACCCAACCTACCGCTTTCAGCAAAATGTTTCAAGTTAAACTATGTTCACTCTGACAATATTCAGTTTAGTTCATTTTGGCTTTACAGGGCAAACATTCGGATACCTGTCAGTTATTTTATTCTTAAGGTGATTCGCATGACACCTAGTAGATAAGGTAGTTCTACGGTAAGTAGGGATCTTGCTTCTTTTCACAACCTTTCTGTTGTTCTCTTTCCCACTCTCATTTTCGCTCTCAGAAGTTGGATCTGTGTCTCTCTTAGCTTTGAGAACATTCGGAGGAGCTTCCCTTCTTGAGGTATCAGACACCTAAGAACAGATTGAAGTCTTATCTATACGTTCCACAATTTCTAACTGGCTGATTTTTAACACTTATTCAGGTGCTATTTTTAAAAAGTTCACACAAAATGATTTTGATAGAAAAGTAAATAATTGCTTCCAAACAACCCCCTCCCTCCTTGCTAAAACATTTCGTTGTTTTAAAGATAAAATAAACCCAACAGAACAGCATGCTTGAGAACATATAGTTGTATCTTTTTGAAATACCTGAAGTTTGGTAAAATCCTTCGGTATAGAAGCTTGGTGCAAAATGTAAAACAAATGCAGCACTTAAAACCAAAAAAGCCTTGCAAACATGCAGGGTACACCACAAGCTGTTAAAAGAACATACCTGACAAACACATCAGACCAACCTGACCTGTTAGCAAAATTAATTTTCACCAACTCTCTAATCCAGATACTTTGCTGCATTTTGTATTTTTCTCTGGTTCAGTTACTATATTGATGGCTTCAGGGTAAAAAAAACAGAAAACAATTTTCTAATATCATATGATCAAATAGTTCTCCTAGTCCCATACACTATGGTTTTTATTCAGTATGAAAGTTTTCATGATTCAAAGCGCAATCTTCAGTTTTAAAGACTTGTTTTTAATTTATTCCCAGTTTCTCAAAATGATTAAGAACACATCAGCACATACATACGAGTAGAAATGCTCCAGTCTGTCCCAGCAAACTTTTGCATCATCAAAAGGTACGCCTCATTTTACAAACAAAACTTTCTGTGCAATCACAGGAAAAAAAAAAAAAATCACCTTTTGCAGTATCTGTGAAATTTGATCTTCTATTTTTTTAATCCTCATCTCACTGTATATTTTATCAAGTTCAGCCTTCTCTGGTTCTGAAGATGAGACAAGTTCTGTAGAGGAGCTGATGGCACTTTGTACTGGTATTCTTGTACGTTGACGAAAATGAGCTAATGCCTGGTCGATATGTGGTGTCACCACCGGTAAGGTAACATAGTTCTGTCAAAAGGAAAGACAACCCTTGTAACATTAATTAATGAGTTGCATGCAATATAAAAATAAAATGTATCAATTTTAAAATCAGTGCACACAAACTATGGCACCTGATCTCTGAATGAGGGGCACCCGGATGAAACCAAAGAGCCCAAAATGTCTTCTATACACTGCAAATCTGAACAGTTTTCTTCTGCCAGGTCCACTGGTTCACCAGAAATATTTCTTCCATCTAGAGCTGTTAGCTGGGGCAACGTCTGAAGAACAGTTTCTCTATAACCTTGAGGAAAAGACCACATTTAAATTGAAATTAATCTCCAAAGGAGATGTCTAGTGTATTTTATGTGCCCTGTCATCTTAAATTATTAATAGCAATTTTAATGGAAGTAAAAAAGTAGTGAGTTATCCACAAGTGTCTCACATTTCCCCACCCATAAGGCTTTCAACAGACAATATTACAATACAAATTAACGGGGAAGCTGCCTGCCTAGTCCTGGTCTACACGGGGATTTCCCCACCACCATCAGCACACTGCAGTTACACAGAAAACCTTTTAATATTGGCCTACTACACCAAAACAGTTGTATGAAGTGCAAGGATAGAAAAAAAGTAATGGAAAGGCAAGTTCTGAAAGGGCTTAGATAACTTCATCCTTTTTCAGTGAATGAAATAAGGCGTTATGAACCTGTAAGGCATGGAAGCTAAATTTCTTTGAATTAATAGAATTTGGGCTTCTGAACATTGCAGTTTCAAAAGTGTCACCAAAGAGGTACATATTAACAGGTATGTAAACACTTACAGAAGAAAACTAGTGGAATTTTCTAAGTTATCCAGGTAAATTTAATAGTCCTGTTACTGCTTCCATGGTGCCTGAATGCATTTGTAAAACTTGTTCATGGGTGCTTTTGAAAACATTTCCTAAGACCTTATTTGGCTTCCCTCAATTATCTCTGAGGTTTCTAAGAACTGTACACATATTACACCTGTATCAGTTACATGCTCGTGATATGGTTGTTATTTTGTATTATTGTAATTCCTACTGTTCTGCTCTTTGTAATGAAATTATCTTTGAGCTGTCCCAAAAGTATCAGTCCTCCACTTCTACTTTCCTGTAGGAGATTCTCCCCTCTCTTATACACAAATGAAGAAAACAAACAAAACCTGCACCGAAACAGGATGCTACAATTTAAATTGTTTGAAGACAGGGCGTAACATTTAAACAGCATGAAAAACCTACCCTCAAACCAGAAGCTCTAGGCAGCGCAACTGGAAGTGATATATCCACCCACATTCCTCCAACTTGTCTCCATGCTGCCTAGTGAAATCCCTGCCTATTTTGATGAAAATGATAATTACTGCAGAGCATCTTAGAGTCTGTCACTGCTTACTGAAGCTGTAGGAAAAGGAGGAAAGGCTAATAGTGCTTATTACTGATCTTCCTCTTGTGGTCAAGATTTTTTTTTATGGAAAACAAATTAATTTTGACATAATTTAGATTTCTGCAAGCTGGCCAGTTTATGAATGAATTTGCAAGCTTCAGAACCTGGCTCACAGCTTAAGGGAAATCACTGACCTAACGAGCACAAAGTGTGTACCTAACATGAGATCCATACCTGCTGTGTGACAAACTGGATTGGCTTTTCCATTTTTTTCCAGTGTCAGATTCGTCAAACAGCACAGCCCCTTTGTGCACTGAAGTAAGTGATTAATATTGTTTACGCAGTTGCTGTGAAGGTCAATATGGCTAATCTTATGACTGGTTCCATGAAGGCACTGAAATCCTGAAAATTTGAGAAAAACCACAAAATAATGATTTCTGCTACGATCCTAGACTATAGAGTTTAGAACAAATGGCATCTTGTTGAAAAATATTCAGTAAATAATAACTGGAAATGACGTTAACAACTTTTGCTCCATATCCCTGTCTACATATATTAATTAGCTGCGGTACGCTACCACACAGTACAACACTTAAGCTAGTTATGAGAGCTAACTTTAAAGAAACAGATTAGTTTCTAACTGTTAAGAAGCATGTAAAAATAAACATTTTGCTTGAAGTTCCTTTTTGTAACTGAGTTCATTAACAAAATTGTCACCAATGTTTTTTAGTTTTCTATTACAAACTCCCTTGATTCTGTAGCTTAAAATCTTACTTAGAAGCAACAATTGACCATTTCAAGAAATAAATTTAGAAGAGAACTTCTATATCATATCCAAAGTTGCATTTTTGTCCCATAAAAAGGAAAGATATGAACCTTTTGGAAATATCTTCTGAGACTATTGCATTTTTCACTTTGGAAATAAGTTTGAAATGTTTACTGTACTACTTTGTGAACAAACTCGACCTCACCAAATGCAGGAGAATAAATTCCAGTTCAGAACAACCCTTGATGTTAGAAACTTGAAAGCTGAGAGTAGCAGCAATTGCCACCTTTAGCAGCGTTACTCAGTCAATTGGCTGAACTATTAGAAACTTCTAAAAATACACGTGGTCAAGTTTTTCAAAATTAAAGTGAGGCAAATGCTTTTTATTACACTGCGCATGCCAAAGTCACTTACCAGAGAGATCATGTATGCGATTATAAGACAAATTCAGTATAGTTAAATTAAAGAGCTTTTCCAGTCCTAAACAAAATGAGGAAGAAAAATAAACAGTAAGATTTTTCAGAAGAATGCTCTGCTTCCATCAAATCAGAACTTGCAAAGTAAGTCATTAAAGAGCACAACTACAAATTATGACAATAAACTACAATCATAATATAAAAAGCAGTTTTTCCTTCTAAATTAAGGCATTTTGCTATGACAAAGCTTACAGAGACTATATACTCTTTTTAAAATTTACATAATAATATGGTCAGTAGCTCATACTAACTTCGTATAACCTTAATTATATGCATACTTTCCAGAAGCGAGCTTTAACACAACTCTTAGAAAAGCTTAATGAGTTTCTAAATGGACAGAAATAACTATTGCAGACCCTCCACTTTCGTTATCAGGTTACAGGATAAGCTCAGGGTGCGCAGATTAGCCAGGGAACTTAGCCCCTCGATCCGGCGGATTTGGTTTGATGACAGATCTAAATGCTGCAGGTTCCGGAGGTGGCCGAGCCCTTCGATTCTGGCGATGCGGTTACAGTGCGCGTTGAGCGTGTGCAGGCCCGAGCTCAGGGAGACCTCCAGCAAGCTGCGAGGGAAAGGCACCCGCCATCAGCCGGGCA